TCTCAGTCAGAACTAAATAATCTATTGGACAGGATGCAGGGTGGGCAGACGCCAGAGGAAAAATTCTTTCCCCTCGTCGGGGATCGAACCCCAGTCCGTAGCCAGTCACTAGACCGACTAAGCCATTGCACAGTGTGAAATGTTTCAGTTACAGACGCTGTTCTGGGAAAATGTATAAGAACGCGTAGAGCTTCATCTCATTCGCTTCATGATGGATTAGAGTTGGGCGGGTCCAGTCCGCAGTGCGCCCGTCCGCGCCACAAGTTCGACGCGCAGACCAGGAATAGCAGCCCCCCAGAGTTCGCTGACCTCACTTGAAGAAAATATCGGCCGCTGTGACAGATTTTGCTACTAAGGTCAAGCATAGATCGAGTCGAAGCCTATTTTAAGAAGTGTTGGACGGCCTATGAGAAGTGAATTCGTCGCAACACGAAAATTCACGTAATCTAATTAATACTTTTCTAAATTGGTTCCACGGAAACTGAAGACAATCCTTCCCAGATGCAAGTGACAAGTGTAAACCTTCGATCTCCAAACGAGAAAGTGCACTGTTTGGTTGTTTTCGTTCAATTTTTTATTAAATTAAAATTAAATTATTTGGTTATTCCGTCAAATCACAATGTATTTAAAATAAGATAATTAAAATAATTAAAATATCATTCTGTGTTCCATATCGAATAATCGATTCCAATTGTAAATCGATTATTCAATATGGAACACAGAATGATGTTTTAATTATTTTAATTATCTTATTTTAAATACATTGTGATTTGACGGAATAACCAAATAATTTAATTTTTAATTTAATAAATCACAATATGACGCAACTACACTATCTTACAATTTTTTATTACTATGTTCGTTTTTAGGGAATTCTCATTCCTTGACAGAAGGTAGAGAACACGATCACAACCCCGGAAAACTGCCCTGGAGTCGATTCCGGCGAAGGCGGATTCTGCAGCCCGGAAACTAAAACTGATAGGAGAACGGAGACAAGACCAAAAATTTCATCAAAAAGTAGATTACAAAAACAAACGCTAGAAATTGTCTTGGGTTTTGAGTTCCGGTGATTTTGTTGGGTTTGGTGGTAAATTTTCCCTACGATATTCAACGATAGATATCGAATTATCATGTCTACCGAAAGCTATTATGCAATAAAGATTCGAAAAAAGAATATAAGCAATGTTCCATACACAGTTCGAAAATCAGAGAGACAGAAACTTAACTTTCTTGCTGAAACATTACGCGGTGAAGATGCGGGTGACCTCACAGCTATAAGAAAACATCTGCCACTCGTTTTCCGCAGCTGCTGGTGGACTTTTCTTACAGCCACACAAATAGGTCTGAGGATATAAAAAAAGGCCTTCAGCGGTTCTTCTGTTCACAGTCAGTAACTACCCGAGTACTGCATAATTTAATATTTAATTATTTTGTAACTAACCAAGGGCATTCCATTCACACACAGAAGAAGGCAATGGCAAACCACTTCTGGATAATCTGCCAAGAACGTATATGAACAGGTCCCAGTCCGAGAAGAGAAAAGGATGGAAGGATCCTGTTCATATGGACCTGTCGTCAGACAGAACACTAAATAATAATAAAAAGACTACATACTAAAGCAAAATATTATCACGATAAGATACAAACTAATAACTCAAGTTCGACCTGGCAACCTTGTAAGTCCTCTTACCGGGCAGCAATGTGTGAAACAGTCCAAAGCGAACACAGCGTTGCCACGCAGTACGAAGTTAGTATTCCAAACCCCAAGTTCAAAATTAAATTCTCTAGAATGGCCGGATAATATCCCCCCCCCCCCAAACAACAAATGCAAACACGCCGGAAACGTGAAAGTACGAGCTGAAGTCTCACGCTTCAACTTCTCCCAGGTAGTCACATGTCTACACGGAATGAAAGGGCGGGGACTGGCACCCGAAGCCTTGCGTGGCCTTGGGAAGTGTCCAGTCGGGAGCGGTGTCGTGTCTACCATCGCACATGGGCGGTCTTATAGAAAATTCGAAAACCCACCTTCCAAATTCGTCTTGTACGTCAGTCCGCTAGAAGCAACACCCCAACGAGACGGTTGATAAACTTTTACGTATATTTTTAGCACGAAAACTTTTCATGAAAACTTTTAATACACGGAACTTGTTAGATTCATTGACTTCAATTAATTCAAAGGGTCGCTTTACGTACGGGCTAAATTAACCTTTACGTATCTTCTCAAATCAGATTAGATAAAACCTTAAATACGACATTTCTTTTTCACGAATATCACAACAACAAAATTTTGTTCGTTTCGGTTTCCAAAACCACTTTTTGTGTCCTTAATGGGAATTGGACATTACGGCAATAATCCATATACGGCACTTCTATCGTGAAGGTGGACGGACGAATCGGGTGTGAATTTCTATACAAATAATATAGAGAAAATCATATCGGAGAAAATCTTCGTGATACACTTGGGGCGAATTAATCGAAATGCGTGCTGATCAACAACAGACTATTTTAATGTTCCCAAACAATTTCTGAATGAATTTAGAGAACAGTCATCAGCATAGTACACCAGACCGGAGAAACAAGACAAATGAAACACGGCAACAATACAATAAAAATCAATCAATCTCTGAACTAAATGCGCGCGCAACATGGTCGATGTAGCGGGCCGGGCCATGCCAGGGCCTTGTGGATCGATGTGCTCCACCCCAGAAGAGAGAAACTGGCTGCCTGGCTGGCTGTAGTGATTCATACAACACTAGCAAGCATCTCTTTCATTTTTATTTTTTTATTTCTACAGCTCTCCTGCTAACATGTGACCGTGTCCTATAACATTAGGATTCCGTGCACGGGTCCTAAGAATTTTTTGCCTGCCATCGTTACATGATTTATTCATAACTTTGTGACTTTTTCGAAGTGTTTGTCCATGGAAACTGCATACGGGATTTTTCTCATTTCAATGCCTTGTCCCACTGCCCTAGGATAGTCCAATTATAAGCTTAAATTTTCCCGTCTTTCAGTAGCCATGTATTGAAAACAAAAAAACTTATTATAGTTAATTCTTAAAATAAAAGTGGAACGGAAGATACAGTTACAGAGATTGATTTCGAAATGCATACATACAGCTCTGCAACATAAATTTTAAAAAGGGTAGCTTTGTAATCTGTACTCTTCGTCTAATAATGCTACGAGTGATTAAATAAAAATCAATGAGACAGACAAGTTGCAATGATGGGGGAAATGAAAAATGCATGTTAAAGTTTGGCAGGTAAGAAGACATTATACTTGACAGACTTAAAAACGAAAACATGGCATTCATGTTTCATAATGCAAACAGTGTTTGAAGACGCGAACTAAACACAGTACGATGTCAGATTCTCGACGAAAACAAAACAGTATAGAGTATCTTCGGTTGTTAAAATCTGTTTGAACGCTAACACTTTGTGAAGATGTGAAACGGGCCGGGTTGTTCAGGACTACATCCGATGGCAAAGGCCTTGGCGTTGGCAGCGGTGAATCTTCAGTAACTATCATCTGACCATTTCGCACCAACAATGGCGTACCGATGTCTTGAAATAACGACCGGCAACTAAGTAATCCTATCGAATGTCGCCGCTGAATGGTTAGCAACGCTTACTTAGTATTCAGGAGGGACCGGGCTCGATTCTCGGCCGGGAGGATTGGCTATCCTGACTGATGATGGTTTTCGTGGATTTCCTCAGACACTCGCTTCCTTAACACTTACGTCCTTTCTAATTCATTCACGACCGCCATTTTATGTTCACGTATTGCTGGCATAAAACTCCCACTACCGCGAAACCTAATCATACCATCACACAGCATAACTAGAAATAGCTGTTTCTTGTTAAATACTTAACACTTTTTAAAAAGTTTCAAACAAAGACACCCACGTCTTATACCATGTACCGTTTTTATGTATGTTGATTCAGCCCCGTTGTGTTTTCCTAAAGAATATTTAAAGCACTAATGTGAACTAAACTGGCCAAACTTATTCTGAGTAACACGGTCCAATATGTTGTAGCGCGATGAGGCAGGTAATCTGCGCCTACAATTTAACCGAAAAGCAAAGAAACCGAATAGCTGCTGGCCTGTGCCACGTTTATTGAAATTACTTTTGTTTTTAATTTCTATTATAATTAGTATCATTATTAACGTCGTCATCACTAAATGAATATGAGATAATCGAAATCACTACAGCTAGCACGCCAGGATTTTCCAAAATGATAGATCGTCATTCCTACACAAAACACTCCATTCACAACACCGCAACCCTTTAAAAAAAACTACAAAAGTCCTTCGACTGCCGAGGTGCGAAATGTTGCACCTGACAATATACAGCCGCTTTCACGGAATAATCACGAAGGAAAGTGTTAGCCTACCTTATCACCAAATTTCAAACAAAGCGCGCAATTCTTACGTTTCCACAGTTCTAACGTCGCACTTGCTACGCACACAACAGACTGTCTAACAAGTTAACAATGTAAATTACTTCACTTATCTCGTTTTCCAACGCACAAGATTGAGAAGGGACTGTTCTTGAAATTTCAAACGTAAATAAATGCGCGGTACATGCATATGCGGCTCTTATGATACACCGCTGTATCGTAAGCGTTATTCATACACAATGATAAACCCATGGTTTTAAGACGCCCACGTTGCACATTAAGAGATAATGCATACAATGGGGTGGTTGCCGTAGGATGTAAATTAATTACGAGTGGGAAGGGAGCATGTCAGCATTTACTACGGTCTGCGGAAAAGAATGCCCAAATAGCAACAATATGGTACAAAGCAAGGGCCTTCGGAATGAGATACGGCGTGAACAATTTTTCAGGAATCAAATCTTGATGCAACCAGAAAAGTACAGAGTGATTCTGTGTATTATTACATTACACCGATATGATTATAAACAAAGGCTGCACGTGTTATCGAAACCGGCGTTACTACTTGTTCATTGAATACGTTGAAATTACCGAGTTACTCACCCAGCGAACAGAGTAGCAGAAGTGCAGACCCGCACCAAAGCACTGATATATTCATGCTGATTTCAGGCCGGGACTTGCGTCTTCATAAACACTGCACGAAACTTCAACAACAAATTTAGCACCACTGCAAGAACACAAAGAATACGTTCGTTCTTATCAACGCCACAATAAAAGCACTCTAAGTTAAGAAAACATAAATCATCAATTTTAACACAGTTTCTCTACACACCTATGTATTTTGCAACAAGAAAGAGAAA